CGACATCATTGGTCTGACTGAGACAAGAAGGCATCAATCACATCATACCGTTTTCAACACTGGAGAACTGTTCCTCGGAACATGCGACAAAAGAGGCATTGGAGGTGTCGGTGTCGTTGTCAACATGAACTTGGCCATGAGCACTGATTCATTTGAATGCCTAACAACTCGAATCCGACGATTACACTTGAATAGATGTGGCTCACTGCCTGGCAGTTTCTATCTTCGTTGTCTACACACCAACATCCAATTATGATGGAGAAATTGAGAAGTTCTACATGGAGTTGGAGAAGTTCTATAAAGAAGACCACACCTTTTACAAGATCATTTTTGGTGATTTTAATGCCAAGATAGGACCGAGAAAATCAGCCAAAGAACTCCACATTGGGACCCATGGCCTAGAATGGAATGAACAGGGTGAGAGACAGTCTGAGTTCATCATGTCGACCAAGATCATCCATGGTAATTCACAGTTCCAGAAGGCCTAATCTAAACGTTGGACATGGGAGTCTCCCGGTAGACGGTTCCACAACAAAATTGACCACATCATATTCAATCGATGGTTTTGCCTGGCCGATGTCCCTGTTGTCCCAAAATTCCAAACGGGATCAGACCACTGTCTCCTTTGTGTAAAATTCTACTTCACAGAGCAGGGAGAAAGGGCTGCAAAGTTTAAGAAGTTAACTTCCAGAATGACCACCAACTGGGAGCTCTTAGGCACTATTGCGGCAACATGGGAATATGCCGTCATTGACAACATTGACGAGGAATACGATCGATTGGTTCAGCGCCTCCATGATTGTGCGAGGAATGCCACGAGAGAGATAGCCACAAAAAAAGCCTGTCTTTGAAAACTCTTGAGCTTATTTGCCAACGTGGCTTAGCACAAGCCTCAGGCAACCACAACCGAACGTCCGAGCTCACAAAGCAGTGCAGAGAAGTGATCAAGGAAGACCTCAAAGAGAGAAGAGCAGCAGTGCTGGCAGATGCGGCAGAAGCTGCGAAAAGCATTTGCAACACCCACCTGTCCTTCGCCAACTACAAGACCAAGATGACTGCCCTCCGACATCCTGATGGATCTATCACATCTTCCCAAAGGGCAATGGAGAAGATTATCCATGATTTCTACTTGGATCTCTTTGATAGCCATGTCCACCTGCCAACATACCAAATTCCGCAGGATGAATATGTCGTTCCCAACATTCTTCCTTCCAAAATCGACACGCCATTTTGTCGGTAAAGAAGTGAACAGCACCTGGCCCAGACAAGGTCAGACCCAAACACCTGAAGAATCTGCCATCGGTACTCATCAATACACTGGCTTAACTCTTCACACATTACCTGTCTGAATGCAAGGTTCCGTCCCAAAGGAAAACCAGCAGGACTGTACTACTGTACAAGAAAGGAGACATCCACGACATTGGCAACTATCGCCCGATCTGCCTATGGTCTGTTATCTACAAGCTGTTCACTTGAGTCATCCTGAATAGGATTGGCAGAACACTAGATGAAGGACAACCATGCAAACAAGCCGGGTTCCGCAAAGGATTCAGCACCATCGATCCTATCCACACAATAAACAAGCACATTGAGGTTTCTCAGGAGTTCAAGATACTGCTCTGTCTAATGTTCATTGATTTAAAGAAGGCCTTTGATTCTGTTGAGACAGAAGCAGTCATCGAAGCCCTAGCCAAATAGGGCGTTCAAACTCAATACATCAGGATTCTCTGTGAGCTGTATTACGTACGGTTTCACTACCAGGATCTCAACATTCTACAAGGAAGTGATCATCCATGTCAAGAGAGGGGTTTGGCAGGGTGATACCATTTCACGGAAACTCTTCAATGCCACCCTCGAGAACGTCATGTGACGACTGGAATGGAAGAAATGGGAGTGAAGATAGAAGGTCAGCAACTACACCACCTCTGCTTTGCTGATGACATCGTTCTAATAGCACCAAACATTAGCCAAGCTGCACAAATGCTGGCCGACTTCGACTGTGAATGTGGAAAGGTCAGACTATAGCTAAATCTCACGAAGACAATGTTTATGAGAAACAGTCTAGATCCTGACGTTCCATTCACTCTCAATGGAATGACCAATGGTCAGGGCTTACTCCTCACTCTACACTCAAGGCTCACTCCTGGTGGTTCTTAGGAGACCATATGGGGTGCTTGGGATAGAATTGGGGCCTGGGGTTGTAGAAATAGTACAGCAGGTAGGGCTTTTGCTTTGCATGCAGCCAATCCAAGTTCGATCCCCGGCGTCCTATATAGTCCCCCGAGCACCACCAGGAGTGATCTTTGAGTGCAGAACCAGGAACAACCCATGAGTATTGCCAGGTGTGGCCCCAAAATGAAAACAGAAGAAAACAAAATAAACAAAAGAAGAAAAAAAGAAAAACACTGGGTTAGCTGTACTGTAGGCAAGGCAAACACCTTAACCCCCATACTATCTCTCTAAGCCTTTTGTACTTTTTTTGCCACACCCAGCAGTGCTCAGAGCTTGCTCATGGCTTCTGTGCTCAGGAATCACTCCCGGAGGGACCTGTAGGGTGGGGAATTGAACTGACCTCAGCCATGTGCAAGGTAAGAACATTATCTACTGTTTTATCGCTCCAGCCCCTTTTAGTACTTTTTAACAGAAGAAAACAAATTCCTTTTTGTAATTTTTATTCATTTGTAGGGATCAAACCCAGTGAAGCATATATCTCGCTACTGAACTACATCATGACGATCACGACCATCCTGTTATTTGTCAATTGCCTCGAGCAGGCCCCAGTAACGTCTCCTTCCTCCTAGCCCTGAGAATTTTTTAAAAAGTGCCATATTCTAGGCTCTTTCAGGGTTAGGAGAATGAGACTCATCATTGTTACTGGTATATGGCATATTGAGTACGCCACGGGGAGTCTGCCAGACTCTGCCGTGTGGGCAGGTTACATTTGGTACCCTGCCAGTTTGTCCAAAGTAAGAGTGAGATAATAAGATGTATCGTGGCCGCAAATGCAGCCGTGTGCTTCCAGGAACTAGGTTTTATAGTCTCTGGGTCTTGGCTGTTGATGGGATTACACGGCGCCAGGGGGCCAGTTTGTGGATGTGACCCCTGCCTACTGGAATATGGAGGATCTGGGTGGAGGATGCTCAGCCCCGATCCGAGCAGGCTTGGAGATCTCAGTCCCGGGACCTGCATGCCTTTGTTCCTCTGCCAGTACCTTCATGCGTATGGAGAGTGGTCACAGCATGGTGGTGGCTGGTTCTAGAGGTTTTCAGCTGCCGGAGTCCTGGTCGGGGTAGGGAGGAAAACTCAACCCACTCCCCTCCAAGGGGCCCCGGTGAGAACAGCCAGGCGCGGGGGCAGGAGACTCTGAGCTGTCTTCTTCCGGGAACTGGGTTTTATAGTCTCTGGGTCTCGGCCGTTGATGGGATTACATGGCGCCAGGGGGCCAGTTGATGGGTGTGACCCCTGCCTACTGGAATATAGAGGATCTGGGTGGAGGATGCTTAGCCCCGATCCGAGCAGGCTTGGAGATCTCAGCCCCGGGACCCGCATGCCTTTGTTCTGAACTACATATTGGGCCTTTATAATGGTCTTAAACTTTCAGTCTAGAGAATTGTGGCGAATTCCCACAGGTTGAGTGCACGCTTTGCATGTGAGAGACCCGGGTCTGATTTCTAGCTCCGCTTACATAGTCTCCTGAACATCACCAGGAGCAGCTCCAGAGCACTGAGTGGGGAGCAGCCCCTGACAACACTGGTATGGCCAAAAATTTTTTTAATAAAGAAATAAAACAAAAAATTCAGTTTAGGGGCTGGAGAGACAGCTCAAAGGGTTGGGCACAGATTCTGCCTGCAGGAGGCCAGGGGGCTTCATCCTGGCACTGCTTGGCATGACCCTGGAGCTTCTCGAGGGGACAAATCCCTGAGCATCACCAAACTCCTCCTTTGAGAAATGTAAAAAAAACAGGAATTGTCACTAAATTGGCAAATTATATGGAAATTTAGGAGGAAAATTAGTATCAGACACAATGTCATCTTAGAGAAAAATAATATTGATAAAAATAATAAATACTTTGAAAAAAGTTTATAGGCAGGGGAGAGAGATAGTACAAAGGTTAAGGCACTTGCCTTGTGTGTGGCCAGCAACTATTCAAATCCCCAGCACTACATGTATTTTTTCTCCTGTGTACCTCCCAACCACTGAGCATGGCTGGGTGTGATCCACCCCCCTCAAAAAAGAAAAAAAAAAAACCTGTAGGCTGGAGTTGTGGCTCAGTGGCAAAGCACTGCTTTACATATGTGAGTCCCTGGGTTAAACCCTCTGTGCGCGTGCGCGCGCGCGCACACACACACACACACACACACACACACACACAAAACACACCACATACACAAAGTTTAAAAAGAAATCACAAAATATACAAGAAAAAGGGAGAATTCTTTGACAGGGAGCAAGCTCAAAGGGTTAGAGCATTTTGTTTGTTTTGTGTGTGTAAGTCTGGGTTTGATGCCAAGCACTGCATGGTCCCCTGAGCACCACCAGCACTGACCCCCAAGCATGAGGCCCAGGAGTAGCCTCTGAACACTACTGGGTGTGGTCTAAAACTAAACATGTGTGTGTGTGTAAGGGGAATTGCTTCCCCGCTTCCCCTTCCCTTCAGTTATTATTGTAGCGACAGGGGCCGCACACACTTGGTTGTGTACCTGCTGGGAGCTGGCCCCAGCGTGCAGAGCTCTCATACTTTGCTGTGTCCTCAGGGCTCCAGACCTGTCGGGTGGTGCCTGGGATTGCACTGGGGCTGCATACCTGCAAGGCAGGCACTCCACTGGGAGCCACAGAGTGGAGAATTCTAAACATGTATCCTGAGGCAAAAAAAAAAAAAAAAGAAGCCTGAAATGTATAAAAGGAAAACTTACTTTCTGCCCTGAACAGTAGAGCATGAACATTCTCTCATGTCACATTCTTACCCAACATGATTTTTAGCCTTGCTTAGAAACCCATCATAAGAAATATTTATTTAACCCTTTTTTTATCATCAAACATTTAGGTTATTTCCCATTTCAGGAAAAGGTTTTGCAGATGAAGGAATGCATACCCTTTGGGGGCAAGCAGAAAAAAAGTCCCTGAAGCCTCCTCTTGCTTTCCTGACCCCCTTCCTTGGGGTCTCTGCCAGGCCTCCCAGAACATCCCCAGAACGCTGCCTGGGCACACAGCCAACTGGCCTCCAGCGCTGACTTTGCCTGGGAGAGGACAGTCTCTGGCACACCTTCCTACTCCTGGCATCTTCTCCAGCATAAGACGAGTCTGACCCAGTTTGGATGCACGCCCATTCACAGTCTTTCCACTCCCCAGATTCAAAGTCCTCAAGGGTCTGGGAGCCCACAGACAGGTGCTACGTTCTCATACTGGGGCTCCTCCTTCCCTTCTTCTCCACCCAGCCTCTGCACCTCCTGTTCCAGGGGGCCGCCCTGGGGGGCTGGCTCCAGCATCGTCCCGGACCCCCTGAAGCCATCACCCTGATCTCTGGTCACTTCCTCTGCTCTGGCTCCTGCAGACTCCAGGGCTCCAGGGAGCTCCTCATTCGGGATGGCTGAGCCCGAGCTCAGACTGGCAGAGGTAGAGGCCAGCCCAGGGCTGCCCTTGTTCCGACTCAGAGCCCGGCGCGGGGGCTTGGGGATGGTGCTCCTGATCTTGGGCTCTGTCTGCCCTTTCTGGAAACTTCCAAAGCGGCGGAGGACTGACCGTACTGAGCCCTCTGCTCCCCGGGGAGTCCCTGCCAACATGTAGATTGTGGTTACCGTGCCTGAGCTCTCCTGGACATTGCCCTCGATGGCTTCCACACGCTCTGCCACCATCCGGCCACCAAGTGGGAGGCGGCGGCGGCCGGCGGCTGAGTCCTGGGGGCTGGCAGTGCCAGGAGGTGCCTCGCCGTCCTTTTCTGCTTGCTCTAGGGCGGTGCCCTCCTCAGCCTCCTGCCCTTCAGGACCTGGTTGGGCCCCCCGGGAGAGCCTCTTGGGTTTTCGGAGGGGGCTGGAGAGCTCCCCTGAGCTTTGGCGACTCTGTGGAGCAAACTTGGTGCCTTCAGCAAAGGAGACAGACGGCCGCTTGGCTCGGGCGAGGCTGGAGGTGCGTGGGATGGCAAAAGGCGTGGACGCATCCTCGGGAGGAGGGAAGGAACCCCCAGCCAGGCTGGACTCTGGCGACTCTGCTTGCACCACAGGAACCATTCCTGGTCGAGGAGACACAAGAGTTTGGTCAGACCTGGACTAACCACCTCAAATCCATCTTACCCTCCCAGCCTCTTTTGGGAGATCCCAAAAATGGGGCAAAGGATGCACAGGGATGCAGGGCGGCTGGGACAGGGCTGCTGTAGCTCGCATGGCTCCGTCTGCGCTCATTTCTCCGTGCCATTCCTACCTCTGAGCAAATGTCATTGCCTTTCTCTTTTTCTCTTCTTTTCTTATTTTGTTTTTGGGTCACACACAGCAGTGCTCAGGGGTTACTCCTGATTCTGTGCCCAATTGCACCTATCCATTGTACTATCCCTCCAGTCCCACTAAGGCCTTTGTGTGTGTGTGTGTGTGTGTGTGTGTGTGTGTGTGTGTGTCTTATAATTTTTTTTAAATTTTATTGACTCACCGTGAGATAGTTACAAGCTTTCATGTTTGGGTTACAATCACACAATGATCAAACACCCATCCCTCCACCAGTGCACATTCCCCACCACACTAATGCCTTTTCTAACCAAGTTCCAACTCTTTATTTTGGAGACCGGAGAGACAGCATTGGAGGTAAGGAACGTGCCTTGCAAGTGCTGCTTCAGTTCACCCTGGTTGATCCCCAGCACTGCATCTAGTCCCCAAGAACCGCCAGAGATCACTCCTGAGCACAGAGCCAGGAACGCTCCCTGAGCACTGCTGGGTGTTGCTCAAATACCCCATCTCAGGGGTATTTGGGGGGCTGGAGCAATAGTACAGTGGGTAGTGTGGTTGCCTTGCACATGGCCAACCCATATTCAATCTTTAGCATCCCATGTGGTCTCCCAAGCACCACCAGGAGTATTTCCTCAGTGCAGAGACCAGAGCATTACCAGGTGTAAAAACAAAACAAAACAAAATACCCCACCTCCTTCCACCTTCAAATATATTATTTTGTTTGTTTTGCAGAAGTTTGGGGGTAACAACCAGCCGGGTTCAGAGCCACTACTGGTTCTATGCAGTGCTTAGAGGACCATGCAGTACTGGGGTATATGGGATCAGCTGCACGCAAGGCAAGTGCTATGTAAGTAAAATCTCAAACCAAGTTCAGACTCTTTTGTCCCTTTTTTTTTTTTTTTGGTTTTGGAGTCACTCCCAACAGTACTCCGGAGACAATGTGGAGCTGGGATGGAATGAGGCAAGCGCCTGGCACCCTGTCCTATCTCTTTGGCCTCATACGCCACCACACAGACCTTTCCTGAACCTCTGAGCCCGCGTGACTCTATTCCTCCCCTGAACAGCTTCTGCCACCTCCCGCCGCTCTCCCTTGGCCAGTGCCTGTCGATTCTGTGGGACTCAAAGCCAACATCACTGGCACTGAGTTCCCTTCTCTGTGCCCAGTCACCCCAGTAGGCTGGGAAGATGAGCCTCTCAGCAGAGCCAGCGGCGTGGTTCAGTGAGGAATTCTTGCCCTTCGGGAGGACACAGGTCTACCTTGTCCCTTCCGTGCCTCTTACCCAGGAAGCATGACTGGCACAGAAAGAAACCTGGTAGATGTTTGCTGAGGGAACAGAGAGGAGAGTGTGGGGCCAGGGACATGCTCAGAAGTAGAGCATGAGCCTCCCGCACCTGAGGCTCTGGGTTCAAGCCCTGGCAGGCGCACATGCACACACACATAAGAGGAGGTTGCGGTGGGCAGGCCTGCTGCTTGGGGACGGAGTTGGGGGGATGGGGTGATTAAGTACCTTCTGCAGGGGGAACGCAGTAGGTTGGGCCCTCGTCTTCCTCTCCAGACTCGGGATCCGAAGAGAAGGAGTCGTCAGAGGCCCAGCCCGTGGACGGCTGCTCGATGAAGCTGTGGTTGAAGGGTATCTCCGGGTCGTGGTGTGAGACTGTTGGGAGTCCAGGTCAGCCACAGAGCCCCCGGAAAGCCCCAGCCACTCTACCCAGCACTCCCTGCGCCCACTTACCTGTCACCCAGGGAAGCTTGTGGCTGCTGAGGGACCCACAGGGGAGCGCTGAGCCCAGGCTGCTCAGTGCTCCCCACACCTGCAGCTTCATCCTGGACACGGCAGCCCCATCTCTCACTGGCCTGAGGGTGGAGAGAGGTGGTCAGTGCAGAGGCCTCTGGGGAGACAGGACCTTCCTGGTACAACATTAGGATAAAGGAGATGGTGACACAGCGCCTGGGCCTGCAACTGAAGGTAAATCAGATCCAACTGCACCTGGAGCAGTAATCGGCTCACATAGTATCTCTGTGGGCCTCAGTCTCCTCATCTGTAAAATGGGGATAACTTCTGTCTAGCAGAGCTGTTTTTAGAACCCAGCACAGGCCTGGACACTAGTACAGACCCCTGCCCAGGTGCTGCTGCGTGCTATTACCTCCAGTATCCAGCACCATGGGCTCAAGAGGCTCCTCTACCCACTCCCCCCCACTCCCCCCACCCCTGCCACAGCAGGGAGTAACAGCTCAACTCAACCCTTCCCACTGGATGGTCTGTGCACAGATGCTCATCTCAAGGGTGGTTTCCCATCCCAGGCTCTAGGGGGCGGCCCAGGGCAGCTCATCTGTGACTGGGAATCGTTCCAACAAGCACTGTAGCACTATCCCACTGTCCTCCTGTTGTTCTTGGATTTGCTCGAGCAGGCCCCGTAACATCTCCATTGTGAGATTTGCTGTTACTGTGTTTGGCATATCAAATATGTCACAGGTAGCTTGCCAGGCTTTTGCCGTGCGGGCAGATACTCTTGGTAGCTTGCCGGGCTCTCCGAGAGGGGCGGAGGAATCGAGCCCGGCTTCGCTGGGCTGACCACGCGCAAGGCAAACATCTTACCTCTGTGCTATCACTCCAGCCCTCCAACAAGCAAAAAGAAGAAAAAGAAAAAGCAATTTGGGGGCCAGAGTAATAGTACAGCGGGTAAGGTGTTTTCCTTACATGCAACCAACTCAGGTTTAATCCCTGGTATCCCACATGGTCCCCTGAGCACCGCCAGGAGTAATTCCTGAGTGCAGAGCCAGGAGTAACCCCTGAGCATTGCTGGGTGTGACCAAAAAAACAAAACAAAAAAAGGAAGGAAGAAAGAAAAAAAGAAAGAGAGAAAGAAAGAAAGAAAGAAAGATAGAAAGAAAAAGAAATTCTTTCCAGCTCTCCAAATTTCTAGTGGGCCAGAAAGAAAGTATAACGGTAAGGGGTTTGTTTTTAATGCAACTGACCCAGGTTCATCCCTAATAAGAACAAACAAACAAACAAACAAACAAAAAAAAAAACACCTTGTCTGCTCCACCACTGCTCACACTTGCATGTCACACTGAGCTGTTAAAGTCCTGGTCTTCCTCCCCTCCCACAGTGGCCATCATGACTGTCTAGGGCACGCAGGGGAGGGGGGGCAGGGAGAATTACAGGTGAGGACAGGGGCTGTCCTCCCGACCTAGTGCACAGGATGGGCAGAAGGCCACAGTGGCCTTTTCCTTCTGCCCTACCCTTCTGCCAGCCTGGTCCTGGTGTCCTCCTGCTCAGGTATCTCCATGTCTTCCCAGAAAGTTTCTGGAAGGCAGATGGCTGCCCTGGCGATTGCCAAGTCAGACCACTGCCAACCACTTCCTTTCCCTCTCCCCTACTGTATGACAAGGCCAGGCTGCCCCCTGCCCGGCCAGAATGCCACCTGACTTCATTCCACTGGGCCAGGAGGGCCAGGCTGGTGCTCACCTGTCCTTTGGCGCCAAGCGGGCCGCCCAGCAGCAGCAGGCACAGCAGGCAATGCCCAGGAGCAGCAGCAGCAGGGGCACCAGGATGCCCACGATGAGGGCAGCGTCCTGACTGTGAGAGCCTGGGGGAAGAGAGAGGCAGAATCGGAGCCTCCCCGTGGCACACACTGACAATTCCAGGCTAGCTCTGAGTTGCTTCTCCCCAGAATATTCCACCCGAGGGTCCCTCCCCACTCTGCCCAGTCTGAAGTCCCCTCCTGCTGCCCTGTTCCCTCCCAATGGTTCAGGGTCTGTGCTACAAACTCCTGCCCTCAGTTCTAGGTCCTGACTCAACCTGAACCCAACTCTGCCCTCTCATGTCTGGACTCTGCTGGACGTCTCAGGGGGCCTGGGCTTGGCTGCATCCTTGGGGCTCTAAAACATCCCAGTCAGTTTGAGGCGTTCATTCAGGGAATGTCTTTGGCGGCGGGGGGTTTGCCTCCCTCACCGGTGCTGGGTCCCTGCAGTCCCTGCCAAGGTTCCCCTGGTTTCTGCACCCCACACCCTCCTTCCCTCTTACCCAGCTGGCAGGCCCCAGAGACAGGGTGGCAGGGCCCCTCTGGACACTCGCAGGGTACAGAGCAGTTGTTGCCATGGAAGCCAGATGGACACGAGGTGTTGCAGCTAGGGGATGGCAGGAGAGACAGGCAGAGGCTGGTGAGAAGGGATGGGGTGGGGGGCTGGGAGCTTTCTGGGCACTGCGCCCGATCCCCCGCTGGGCCGGCTTCCCGGGTGCTGCCCAAGCACAGTCCTGCTGCTCTAAGCCACAGACTACAGCTCTGGAAGCATCAGGAGAGCCTCTCAGCCCCCAAGCTGGTTTTCTAGAAGCTTCCAATATCCGGGGCCCCAGGTCCTTAAAATATAACTTGGTACAAGGTCCACCTCTCATTGTCCACATCCCTTGCCCACCCAGCACAACTGTGAGAACAGCAAGATGACCAGGACCACCTGAGGGCGTCTGAGAAACACGCTCGGGTGGGTCTGGAGGCCTGAGCAGGGCCAGCCCAGCTTCTCCTCAGCCGCCACTTCTCTCTTCTCACAACACTGTCCTGTGTCCCAGGGGTGTCGCCCCACCTGGGAGACACAGCGTCTCTGTGCTACACCTGGAGACCCCTGGGAGACAAGTGTGGGGTCTGGAACCCACCCTTGGTCACTCTCCCACTAGTGAGGGGTGCAGTCAGTTTAGTCTAGCATCACTCGGAACCTCTTTAGAAGGCCCCAGAAAAGGTGGTGTCAGTCTTTAGGGGGCCCCTGGGTGGGTTTGAGGGAGATGAAGAAGCCCGGAAGAGAAGTCAGCACTGAGGCCCGACAAGGCCCTGATGTCCCCTCTGGTCGCCCTCACCTGGGTCCCCAGTAGCCAGCGCTGCAGATACATTCCCCAGTCACCGCGTCACAGGCCCCTTGGACACAGGTGGGGCAGGGAGAGTTACAGGCCTCCCCAAAGGAGCCAGCCGGGCAGGGGTCCTCACACCTGAGGGAAGGCGAGGTGAGCGGAGAGGAGCCCCACCATCGGTCCCCAATGAAGTTGGGCTGCAAACAGGGCCCTGTCTTGGGTTCCCAGAAGGGGCAAAGGGCAGGAAGTGGGATGGGGGTTGGGTCGCTGGACAGAAACTTCTCACATCTGCCCTGGAGACAGAGGGGGACCCAGAGGAAAGGAGGGAAGGTCCTGAAGAAGGCTCGCCCCACCCCCAAGCAGGCCAGTCCCTCACCTGGGCCCCAGCCAGCCAGGGTCACAGTGCTGGCAGTGGCCAGAGTCGGGCTGACAGGCCTCCCCAAGCCGGCAGTGGGGGCACTGATGCCGGCAGCTCTCACCAAAGGTACCAGCTGGGCAGGGCTGGTGGCACTGGGTCCCGTTCCAGCCTGGCTCGCAGGACGGACAGCTGCCTGTGTCTGCAGAGCAGGCCTCCTTGTGCCTGCAGTGGCCACAGCTGGAAGAGAAGTGGTTCCTGGGCACCTGGGAGCAGAGGGCTAAAGTGCCCACTGGGGCATCTAAGGGGCGCTGGAGGGCAGCGAGGCCCGCTCAGCGCCTCAGTTTCCTCTGTCACTGCTCACATGGTATCTACAAGCTCTGCAAGGATTCCAGCCTTTCCCTTCTAGAAAGTCCCACCCTCCCTCCTGGGGTGTCCCAGGTAACACCGGGAGCCAGCAGCCTGGTCACAGCAACCAAATGACAGTCCAGACCCTGCTCCTCTGCCCCTCTCTCCTCCCTCTCTCCCACCCACCCCAGTTGTCCCTGACATCTGGCATTTTGGAGACTAGGTAGTTTTTACCTCTGACTCCCTAACACTGAAATGTATAAAAATGAAACGTTTCTGGCGGGGGTGATAGTACAGCAGGTAGGACACTTGCCTTGCATGCAACTGCCCCAGGTTTGATTCCTGGCGTCCCATATGGTCTCACCAGGAGAGATTCCTGAACGCATAGCTAGGAGTAACTCCTGAGCACTGCCAGGCATGACCCCAGAAACAAACAGAAAAGAAATATCTTTTCGTCAATAATTTTATCTTTCAATTTTTCCAATTTTACTGGGATGTAATTGACACCCAGTGATGCTCAGGGCTTACTCTTGGCTCAGTGCTCAGTGATTGCTCCTGAAAGTACTTGGGGTCCAGATGAAGTGCCAAGGTTGGAATCAGGATGGGCAGTATGCAAGGCAAGTGTCTGAACCCCTGGACTAGCTCTCTGGCCCACAAAATGGAATTCTTTATCTGTGTCTCTTTTGGCTCATGAGTACTGGAGATAGGGTGCTAGGGATCTCCCAGGAGGTGCTCAGAAGGTCTGGAGCTCCTGGTTCAACGGTGGGGCCGAGGAAGCAGAGCTGGGGAGGGGGGTCTTCCCTGCGGTGCTGAGGGCTCCCGGGACTGCACCCAGTGGTACCTGGGGGACCTGTGGTTGCAGGGACCAGAGTGGGGCATGCAGCAGGCAAGCCTCACACTTTAACCTCCGTCCTACCTCCCGACCCAGTGCTGTTAGTATTCGTTTCATGATGATGAAATGAAAGAGCGGCAGAACCGTTGAAGCCTGTCCTTGGGGGGCACCCAGCGTCTGGCTTACACCCGGGGGCCCGCTCCGTTGCCTCTCGGTGGAAAGCGCCGCGACCCTTCCCGCGCGCCCCAGCCCGGCCCCTCCGCGCGCTCCGGGCGTCCCCGCGGCTCACCTCTCGCGGCACTGCGGCCCGTAGGTGCCGGGCGGGCAGGGCAGCTCGCAGCGGGCGCCGCGGAAGCCGGCGGGGCAGCTGCACTGGCCGGTGGCGGCGCTGCAGCGGCCGCGCACGCACTCGCACTGCTGCCGGCACTCGGGGCCCCACCAGCCGGGCCGGCAGGCGCAGCGGCCCGAGTCCTGCGCGCACGGCGACCCGTGGCAGGCGCAGCGGAAGCTGCAGCGGCGGCCCCACCAGCCCGGCTCGCACAGGCACGCGCCGCTGGCCGGGTCGCAGCGCGCCGCCGCCGGGTTGCACTGGCACGGGCGGCGGCACGTGGGCGACCACCAGCCCGGCTCGCAGCGGCACGTGCCCGTCGCGGGGTCGCAGCGCCCGTGCGGGCCGCAGGCGCACGGGAACTCGCAGCGCTCGCCCCAGCGGTCGGCTTGGCAGTGGCACACGCCGGTGTCCGGCTCGCAGTGGCCGTGCGGGTGGCAGGTGCAGATCTCACGGCAGTCGGGGCCCCAGTACTGGCCCGGGCAGCCTGCGGGGCGGGCGGAGTCAGGAGAAGGGATGGAGGGGGTCCCCGTCCTTTACTGGAGAAACAGGGGGGCCGGCCCGCCCTCCAAGAGCCAGGGACAGGCCCTCTCCGCCTGGGGCCAGGGTCCCAGGCAGAGCCCGAGCAGCGACCCCAACCCTGCCCCCCTTTAAACGCCAGAACACAAAGATCCTGGTGGACAAGGTCAGTCGGGGAATGCAGGTGGGAGAGGCCTCAAGCTCCCATCTCTCTCAAAGGCTGGAGGGACCCCAACAGCCAGCACTGGGGGACATTTCCTCTCCTGACTCCAGGTGTCCACCCTCTGGCCATCTGTGCATCAGCCCTCTTCCACCCCTCCCCCCTTTCTTCCGGAGAGAGCAGACAGTCCCCCACCCTGGGCCTTCTTCGCTGGATGGAGAATTGTCCATTTTGTAATTTTGAGGACCCCCCCCCATCTTTCCTGAGAAGTTGGAAAGGAAGGTGAAGAGCCCTGAGCTGTGGGTGGGGCTTTGTGGCACAGGTCACTTCACAGATGACTCAGGACATCTAGGAGTGCGTCATTTCCTGCCCCTGGACCTGAACACCGACGCTGCCCCCGGTGGCTTGGGAGTGCCCCCCTCCCCCAGTCCCGTCCCCTTCACCCTCCTGCAGATGCAGGACTCACGGGAGTCGCAGCGGGCCCCGAAGAATCCGGGCTTGCACCGACAGAGGCCAGGCTTCACGCACACCTCCTCATCCCGGCAGGCGTCGGGCCCCTCGCAGATGGCTGAAAATCCCCCACCCAGGTTGGAAGGATTGCGGGGTGCTCCCAGGAGACACTCTGCCCCCACTGGCTCCCAGTTGCCTCCGGTGGGGGGCGGGGTTGTCGCAGAAGGGAGAGGAAAGGGGCCCCAGGAGAGTAGGAAGGAAGGGGTCCCGGCGCCGCCTTCCCGTCCCCGCTGGGGTCTGTCCCAGCTACTCACGGATGCTGCATTCTTGATCTTTCTGCTGCCAGCCTGGGCAGCACTGGAGCTCGGCCGAGGGGCTGTGGGGCAGTGTGGGGTCAACTGAGGGCAGCCTGGCTCAGCCACTCCGTCTCACGGTCCTGGGCTGGTATCGGGGCAGCGGCCTCACCCCTCTCAGGCTGTCTTAGCCCAGGTGAAAGCCCGGGGTTCCCAAGCCCTCCAACTTCTCTGGTTTCCCACCAGGAGACCTCCCCACTTCCCTGAGCCTGTCCCTCTGGCTGGACCCCACGCCCTCTCTGGCACCTCATCATCAGTTTAGTCACCCCACCCCCACCACGCTCCCTCCAGACCCACCTACTGGCCCTGCAGACGTGCTGCCCTGTGGGGTCCAGCTCGGACCCCGGGGCACCCTCGGCCAGCAGCAGCAGCAGCGACAGCAGCCCTGGAGCCATGGCGGCCCGAGCAGCGGGAGGGCCAGGCTGGTCTGGCCCCCACTGCCCACAACCCCCTCCCTGCTTCCTTCCAAGGCTTTTCCTGAGGAAACCAGGCCGGAGGGGCGGGCTGCCATGAGGCACCTCCCTGAGAGGGCGGGCGGACACAGCAGAAATAAAAAGGAAACGAAGGCCCATGGCCAGGCTGGACTGGGGGCTAGCGGAGCTGGCCTGGGTCTGGAGGGCCAGGAAGAGTGAAGCCGTTCCAGGGGAATGGGGACAGGCAGGGGGCTGGGGTGAGGGGGGTGGGGACTCAGGGGAGCCCTGGCTTCCCAGCAGGTCATGTTCCCAATGGGAGGCTGGAGCCCGGAGGACTCAGTGACACCAACCGAGGCAGTACTCAGGACACCCGCACCCTATGGCTGGAGGAGGCAGACAGACAGACAGACGCAGAGCTGTGTCTGGTATTGTAGACTTTATTAGGATAGCTCAGACCATCGGCTGAAGAGTGGCAGGTGATGGTTTCAGTTCCATGGATGGGGAAGAGAGAGGAAAAGCTTTCATCTGCATGGGGGGGCGGGGGGGGGCTGGGCCCCAAGGCATGGGAAGGAAGGTGGCGGCCCTCCTGTCTGCCCTCCACTGTCCAGCCTAGGTAAGTATGCGGTTAAAATGGAACCCTGTCCTCATTTGAGGTCACACATCCATCTGCGGCCCGGTTCCAGTGTCTGGCCTCGGGGACAGCTGAGACCCCCCCACCCCCAAATGTTCGCTGAAACCGGTACAGGGCCGGTCAGGAGTTGGGGCTTGCGGGGCTGCCCCCAGACACCAGAGTGGTTGACTGTGAGGCCTCCTCTTCTGCCCCCTGAGCGCAGGAGGCTGTGCTGCTGGTCTCTGCCTCTGGGGCCTCTGCCGTGCCACGATACCATAGGCCGAAACTGCGGGGACAACCACGAGAGTCTGAGCCTGTGCCCTGAGCCATGGGGCACGGGGCCGAGGGTAGGAGCAGCGGGAAGGGGACAGTCCAGCAGAAAGGGCGACTTGAGCAGGGAGCAGGAAAGGGCATGCAGGGAAGAACCAGTGCAGCCCCTCCCGCACCCTACCCCCTCACTGTCTCCTCCCCCAACATACAAATTCTGGATTCTGGACTCGGGGGCTGGAGGGTCTTCCTTATCGCCGGAGATCAGGAGCCATGAGCCATCTTCATCATCGCTGAGGCAGAGAGAGGAGATGTGGGAGCCATTCATCAAAGGACAGCGGGGCTCCGGTTTCTGTACAGCCCCAGGAGCCGGCGCCGGAGGGCAGGCTGACTAAGAGGCCCCCAGGCTGGAGAGAAGATGAAGTGAGGCATATAGGAAGGATGCCTTAAGGCTTTGGTGTCACAGCCCGACACAGGCCTTGGCAAAGGTGCAGCACAGTTGCAGAAAACACAGATCCAGCCAAGATGGGGAGCAGAAAAATGAGCATGGAGAAACAGCATCAGCATACAAGCACAGCCTGTGGGGGGCAGTGGAACCCAGAGAGAAGGGTGCCAGGCTCAGGGCAGCAGGCTCAGGAGGTGACCAGCCCACACCAGTAAGCCCAAGACATGATCAAGACAGATAGAGGGCCGGAGCGATAGTACAGAGGAGAGGGCATTTGCCTTGCACACAGCTGACCTGGGTTTGATCCCCAGCATCCCATATGGTTCCCTGAGTACTACCAGGAGTAACTCTTGAGTGCAGAGCCAGGAATTGCTCCTGAGCATTGCTGGGTGTGACCCAAAAAAGCAAAACAAAACAAAACCCCCCAAAAAACAAAAAAGAGACAGAATAGAAAGTTGGATCAAACCAAAACAGGCTGGAGTGCAGGAGGGGTAGGCCAGAGTGGCAGGCTCTGTACAGTCCTGGGGGTGACTGGGACGGCTTCGCGGGCTCCAGATGTGGCAAGGCTAGGAGACAGTCTCAGTGTGTTATTAGGGTAGATGAATAGGTTCCGGGGTGACAGGCTTGGGATGATTCAGCAGATGACCAGGAAGGTCCAGGAGGAAAAAGGGGCCAGACACTCAATAGGTGTTGAGGCTGAGTTCAGGAAGACCAGGCCAGGTTAGTGGGCTCAGCAGGAGAAAGGCAGGTGGACCCAGGGAACCGGAACCCAGGACTGACCTGCTCTCCACTTCCTCTGGGGTCCCCAACATCTTGGCCTTGATCTTCTTCCGCTGCTTCCTGACAGCCACCTTCATGGCTTCCAGCAGAAGGCCAGGGACCCGGGCATCTGTGAGCAGCTCCCTGAAGAAGGGGAAATGAAGAAGCAGGGGGGATGCGAATAGGGGTCTCACCTCAAGGACGTCTCCTTCCCGTTTTTGCTTTTGCTTTGGAGGCCACCCCGAGTGGTGACCAGGATCAAACACAGATAGGTTGTTTTCTATTGCTTTACACTCTATTCTCTCTCTCTGGTGCTCTCCTTTTTTTTGTTTTGGAGGCACACCTGGTGGTGCTCAGGGGTTCCTCCTGGCTCTGTGATCAGAAATCACTCCTACTAGTGCTCGGGAGTCCACATGGGATGCCGGGAGTTGAACCAGGGTTGGCCGCATGCAAGGCAAGCTCCCTACCCACTGTGCTATCACTGCAGCACCCCCCTCCCTAATATTCTCTAACATTCTCTCATCTAACATTCTCTCAGACCTTGCTCAGGTACTAACCCTCCTAGGAACACTTCTTTGGTTTCTGGGCCACACTTGGCAGTGCTTGGAGGCCATTCCCAGCTCTGTGCCCTGAGGTTGCTCCCAGCGGTACTTCAGGACCAAGAGGTGCTGGGATGGAACCTGGGACTCCTGCATGTAAAGCCTGTGTTTAGCCCATTGAGCTATCTGTAGCCCAGGAACACTTCTTTACTGACACCATTGAGAACTCTGCATAGTACTGCTCCGTGCCCCCAGCCCCTGATCTGGATTAAACCCCAGGGGCCAGGGGCTATATGATGCATGTACTCCAGGGCCTGGTTCATGTCACTGCTAATACATCAGTGAAGCAAAGGAGGAGGGACCCTGGGGCCCTGGAGCTAGTGTGAGTGGCGCCCAGCTGGGGTCTTCACCGTTGGAAATAGGCCAATTCCTCCTTCAGCAGGAATACGTTGGCTTTGAGTTCATTCCGCTCCTTGAGTATCTGCTCAACCTCCTCTCGACTGAAGCCGGTGCATGGCTCTGCCTTGGAAGAGGAGCCTGGTTGCTGGGAAGCACCCACCTGCACAAGGACAAGCATGGTCAGAGGGTCCCCTCCATGGGGGAGATGGCTCAGCACAGTTCCTGCTTTGCTTGCAGTGGTCCAGGTCTATTCCCAGCATCATAGTCCTCTAAGCACTGAGTGACTCCTTTTTTTTTCCCTTAATTGTTTTTTGGGGCTTGAGTGATAGTACAGAGGGTAGGGCGTCTGCCTTGCATGCATATGACCCGGGTTTGATTCCTCTGCTCCTCTCAGAGAGCCTGGCAAGCTACCGAGAGTACCTCGCCCGCATGGCAAAGCCTGGCAAACTACCTATGACATGTTCGATGTGCCAAAAACAGTAACAAGTCTCACAATGGAGACGTTACTGGTGCCTGCCTGAGCAAATCGATGAACAATGGGAGGGCAGTGCTACAACTGTTTTTTTGGGCCACACCCAGCCATGCTCAGGGGTTATTCCTGGCTCTGCATTCAAGAATCATTTGTGACTGTTGTCAGGGGACCATGTGGGATGCTGAGATGGAACTCGGATCAAACATGTGCAAGGCTAGCTCCTTACCTGCTATACTATGCGGAGTGACTGCACCTAGCAGAGTAACCCCCAGCATCATTAGGTGTGTCCCTCCACTCTCACGGAAGGTGAGGGATACCCCGGTTAGATTTCCCCGGCCCGCAGGCCACCACAGGAGGGTTAGAGGAAGTGACTGGGCAAGCCCTGCAACAGACAGGCTGAGATTGGGTCAGCAAGGGCTGGGGGGCCCTTTCAAATTTACTGGGGAGCCAGTTAAACAGCACATCAATCTCTGGGTCCCTGCCCTCATCAGGCACTCACCGGCGCGTCAGGGGACCCCGAGGGCCCAGTACCCGCAGATTCCAGCCCCGGCTCCCGCGCGGGCTCGGGGACGGGCTGCCGCTCCCTCTCGCGGTCACGTGCCGAGCGCAGCTGGGTCTCCACCGCCGCCAGTTTGTGCCGCAGCTCCGCGTTCACCAGCAGGAGGCGCTGGAGCTGCTCCTGCAGCTGGGGGCGGAGCGGAAGCGGGTGGGCGGGGCGGCGCAGGCCCCAGGAAGCCCCGCCCCGCCGCCGGCGCGCGCGGCCCCGCCCTCACGGCCTCGGTCTCCTGGCTGCGCTGCAGGAGGTCCCGGTTGTGCGCTCGGAGCTCGTCCCGCTGCCGGTCCGTCACCTCCTTGAGTCTCCGCAGCAGAGCGCGCTCCTCTGGGGAGGGGCATTCTTAGGCGAGCTGGGGGGCGGCCCCGCGCCGCCCCCGCCCCCGCGCGGGCCGGGCCGGCACACTCACCCTGGGGCCCGGCGAGCAGCTGGGCGCGGAGCTGCTCGTTCTCCTCCCGCAGCCGCCGCAGCTCCAGCTCGGCCTGCTGCGCCGACACCTGCAGCTGGGGACGCGGGACGGTCAGGAAATCGGGGCTCTTGGCGCCCCGCAGCCGCGCGGCCCGGGGGCGCCACTCACCGAGTCCGGGCTCGGCCCCACGGCAGCCTTTTCCAGGAGCTCCAGAGCCCGCACCACGAGCGGCACCAGTCCCGCGGCCGCCTCGGGCCCGCAGCGGCGCGCCAGCTCCTGCAGCTCGGTGCCCAGGGCCCCCGCGAGGTGGTACACGAGCTCCGCGGCCGTGCCCGTCCCCCGCCCCGCCGCCGCAGCGCCCCGAGGCCCCCAGCCTTGGGCGCCCGGGGCCTCCGGCCTGGGCTCCATGTCCCCGCAAGCCCGCGACGGCGCCCCACCCCCACGCGGGACAGGAAAGAGCCCGGCAGCCCAGGCCCAGGAAGCAGATGGGGCAGCTAGAGGGCGGGGTGGCGGGCAGGGGAGGGGCAAACAGGGAAAGCAGGGCCCGGGCAGGGACCGAGGGCCCCGCGCTCTGCACCGACTAGCCCCCAAGGTCACAGGAAGTAGGACGGTGGGCCGGGCGCCAGGCCTCCAAGGGGTTATTTTCAAGCCCTCCCCACAGGGTGCCTAGTCCAGGCTCCGCCCCCCGTGTCTGGAGTTACCATTGCGCAGTGGCTGCCAAGCTCACCAGGCAAAAGGTGAGAGGACAGCGGGCCACTGTCCAGTCCTGGTGCCTGTCCCCTCCCAGGCAAGCCACAAAGCCTGGCACTGCAGCTGCAGAGAACCTGCCCCCGGTACTGCAAGGCTCAACACTTGCCAAAGGCTCCAAGAGATGCCTAAAGGAGTGAAGCTTTCCAAAAGGAAATTGACCAAAGCCGGTCACCAGCTCAGCCCCTGGAGAGCAATTCCTGCATCTTCAAGGCTGAGAACAAGCCCCACATTAAACCCATCCCCCAAATTTGCCCTTCTGGGGGGAAATAAAACCCTCAAGTACTCCTATTTATACAAAATTTATTATTATACTTCGTCAGGGCTACAAGACACCAGGAGATCAATAACAACACAATAAGCACAAAATAGAGGGGGAAGGGGCCAAGCTGCTGAATGTCACCAGCTTGTCTGTGGAGGCCAAAGGTCCCAGTCTTTGGGGGTTCTGTGGTAGGGGGCAGTGAGGCAACGCCTAGGCATAGAGGTCCTCCCGGTCTGCAGAGTAGACCTCGCCCTCCTGCAGGAGGGCAAAGTTGAGGAAGTGGGAGGGCCTGTGCACCTCGTGGTAGAATTCCTTAGGGTTTGCCAGCTGCAGTTCATACTTCATGTTGGGATCATGCCGGACACCTTGAGGTAGAAGAAAAAGCCACTTAATGAGGCTATCCTGACTCGTCAGGGCCCTGGGTCGGATCCAAACTAGATCTGGCCTAAGCATGAAGTCAGGGTGAGGGTTTAACCCCAGCCTCACTCCTATGCTCCCACCATCCTCTATGGTATGTGAGCTGCCACTAAGCCATATCCCTGGCCCCATCCCCACTTCCTGTGCTCCTGCACTTACCCATAAAGTTGTAGTTCCACGAGGACTGAGCAGGGACCATGAAGAAGCCAAGGAAGCGGTCTGAGAGCAGCATCTGGACCCTCTCATAATGGGAGGGCAGGTAGCCCTTGGGGTTGTTGCCCTTGTCTGTATTCTGGCGGCCCCACTCATAGCCACTGGGGGTCAGCTTGTAGGCGGTCAGCGTGCAGGAGCCTGGGGTGAAGCTGGAGAGGGAGAAGGGCAGTCGAGTTCAGGCCATCCTTCTGGGCCTTGTCTGAAAAGCCTGTCCAATCCCTCCCAATACTTCCTCCCAAGGGAGCCCAGCCTACCTGCAGGTGATAATAATGGTCTTCTCGCCATCCCAAGATGGATTGTCAGCCATGATTTTTGCGTGGGTGGTGACATCCTGGGGTGAGAGCTGAGGGGACTCATTGGGCTGAGTGTGGATCCAACCCAGTGGTTCCATCTCCTGTAGGCAGAGAGCAGAAGACAAGCTGGTTGGCAGCCCTCTGCAGACATAATCCCATACTGATGAGCACTGTGTCTACCGCCCCCACGCCCTGAAAACAGCCCGCTGTCTCCACCACCGCTGACCTTGAGGTACTCGTGCTGGGGCAGCTGGCCAGGCAGGTGCACAGTCTGGTGGGTGCCCCACTGTGGCACCATCACGATGCAGCGGATCTCCTTCACTTGAGGGTTATCCGGCGGACTCACCCCATACAGGTATCCTGCAATCTGAAGACAAGGGGGTCAAGGCCATCCTGGCTGTGTTCAGGGACCATTCCTGACAGGGCTCAGGGGGGCACATGGGGTGCTGGGAATAGGATCCAAGTTGGCTTGTGTGCAAGACAAGCATTCGATGCATCTCCTCTCCAGTCCTTTTCTAAATTACCTTATTATTATGGAGGGGGGTGATGACTCCCGGTGATGGTCAGGCCAGCAGAGCTTGGGGCTACCAGAGCCATTACTACTGGTTGTGCCGTAAGATGCCAGGAATCACGCAATGGCTGAGCATGCCTTAGGTATATGCCCCACTACTTGAGTCATATCCCAATCCCTACTTTGATAGTTTTTACCACTACCTACAGTTTTATTTTGGAGAGTTCACACCCACTTACAAAGCACGTATTTCAGCCCTTTGAGACGTCTCCCCAGCCTCCAACAGTTATTTAAATTCAGTATCCATGACTTTCTTATTTCTAGACGCTAATCCACTATATGAGTTATGCTAAAATTTTCCCCTTAGGAGGTCTCCCCTTGGGAGGTCTCCTGAGCAGAGCCGGGGATGCCAGAGCCAAACCTGGCAGTGTCCGGGGCTCTCCAGTGCTACACTTAGCAGTGGTGGGGATCATGATGTGCTTGGAATTGAACCTAGATAAGAAGCATGCACCACTAACCCTTTCTCCTTAAGCCCCAAGTTGTGTAAGCATTTTCTGTTAAAGTTTTTAAAAATTAATTAGGGGGTGGGGTTGGGGCCACATATAGCAGTGCTCAAGAGACCCTGATATGATGCTAGGGACCAAACTCAGGTTCAGCCATGCGCAAGACAAACACCCTTAAAAAAAAAAAAAAAAAGACAAGCACCCTATCCCCCTGTACCATCTCTCTGGCTCCCAAATTTAAAAAAAATTATTTTTAAAATTTTTTGGGGGGGCATACCTGTCAGTTCTCAGGATTTATTCCTGGCTCACTGCTCACTTCTGGAGGGGCTCAGGGGACCATATGTGGAGCTGGGGATCAAACTGGGGCCAGCCACGTACAAGGAAAATGCCTTTACTCAGTGTTCTATCTTTTATGCCCCAAGTTTTTGTTGTTTTTTTTGGGTTTTGTACTATACCTGGAGATACTCAGGGGTACTCCTGCCTCACTATCATTGTGTGTGTGTGTGTGTGTGTGTGTGTGTGTGTGTGTGTGTCTCTCAAGGGAGAGACTGGGGAGGGAATAAGGGGTAATAAAATGACGTAATGTGATACTGGGGATTAAACCTGGGTCTCCTGCATTTAAAGCATACATCTATCTCAGTCCTTCATCTCTCTGACCCTTAAACCTTATTTAGTTACATATTAACAAACCTGTTTCCAACTATCTGCCATTCCCTTCCAGTAACTGTCAGATGTATAAGACACCATTCACTGTTTCCTCTTTCATTTTTGGGCCACACTTGCCAATGTTGGCAGGCGTGAAGCGGGGCGTGCATTACCCCCAGTTCCATGCCAAGAAGACCATGCAGCACCGGGGATTGCTCCAGCCCTTGAAGTCATCACCCTGGCCCCCTGTATAATTTTCTTAATTGCCATAGCTAGATACTGTTTGACGCCAAACCTCACTGTTTTGGCAAAACTTGTATGTGATTTTATCCACGCAGCCTGCAACCAGCATCCCAAGCTCCAGGAAATCTCAGATGAGCTTTAGGCACGGAAACACTGGGCACACTTGGGCTGGTGAAGTGACTTAACAAGCCCAAGGACATGCACTGCACACAGAAGGCCCAGCTTCAAGCCCCTATCACACAGACCCTTGAGCACCACCAGATGCAGCCCCAAGGGGAGCCAGGAGTGGAGTCCACCCTCCAGAACAAAATAAACCCAAAACAACACTAGCCAAGTGCTCTGTGGCCTGGCCGAGCACATGACTCACTTGGGCCCGAAGGTCAGATATGCAGATGAACTTCTTAAGCACGTTCTTGGGGAGGATATAAGTGTAGCCAGTCTCCTTGATGTCATCAGATGAGACGTAGATGTGATTGGTCCGCAGGTGCAGATTGGCAGCAGAGATGGCCCTGAGGACAGGAGGGGAAGGTCAGTATTTCTCCCATGCAGTATCTCAGGGGCCTCAGAAGCACCCTCCATGGCTCTGTTGTGGCCCTGCCCGTACCTGACCCTCCACTCGGTCTTAGAGGAGAAAGTCTGGGTCTCATAGTTGCTGGTGGTGGAGGTGATGATCTCGTCTCCGTGCTTGTTGACCGTGCGAGTCTGCGTTGCTGTCAGCTGCGACTGCTCCTTGGTCTGTTTCTCAATCTCAGCGATCTGCTGACGCTGCTGGGACGGCGCCGAGATCTCCATGCCCAGGATGATGTCCCGGATTTCCGACTGTGTCAGTGAGGCTACATTCACACTGTGGGAATAGTGGACAGTGGTTGTCACCCCGAAGGATCCTGCCTCCTCAGTCATAAAGCCTCAGGAGGAAGTGTGAAACTTGGTGAGACAGGTGAGCCTAAACGCACGTCTCAGACAACCCTCTGGAGACACGTGTGAGGGAGGTGAAAAGCAGAGAAGGACCCATCAGGCCACCCTACCTCCCCACTGCTCCCCACAGCAGTGCCCGAGCAGAGCCTGGCCTCTACACGCCCCGGAACACTGCTCTTCATCAGAACAGGTACCAGCAGCACTGAGGGGACACTGGCAGCTCTGCAGGCATTTCTTGTGACAATGACAAGGAGGAAGGGGAGAATATGCAAGTGTACACTTCGAAGTGGTATCTGGGCTCCAGATACTGAAGGTTCTTTTCTGTTTAGTTTTGTTTTGGGGTCGCACCCAATGGTGTTCAGGGTATCCTGGCTCTGCACTCAGGAATCACTTCTGGCTATGCTCAGGGGATCATGTGGGATGCCAGAGATCAAACAGGGACCAACTGTGTGCAACTTTGTGAAACTAGGGTCAGAGCTACTTCTTTTGCTAAAGCCGGGGGCTGGGGTGACACTGGCAGAGAGGAGTCAGGCGGCACACAGGCAGGGACACACCCAGCAGAGCTCAGGGTTTACTCCTGGTTCTGCACTCAGGGATTACTCCTGGTGGACTTAGGGGACCATATGAGATGCTGGGGGTGAAACCTGGGTTGCCTGCATGCAAGGCCAGTGCAA